CCCTCTCTCCTAAGCAGGAATGTAAACTCCATGAGAATAGCACTCTGATCTGTCTCCTTTACTGCTGTTGACAGGGACCTAGAAGGGTAGAGTCTGGCATACAATAAATGCTCAGTAATCATTTGCTTAACAAACTAGAGGCTGGTAGTTTTAATCAAAAGGAATATTCACCAGCAAAAAAAAAAAAAAAAAAAAAAAAAATCTGCAAAAATATAAAAATAGCTAATACTTAATGGATGATGAGTTACACAATTTGTCCAAGATTCTATATTCATTTAATAATGGCAGGGCCAGCTCACAAATCCAGATGTTTCTAGCTCCCCAAATCTCTGAAATTTAGCATTAAGTGGTACTGCTGCAAATCTCTTGATTCTCATGTTTTCTCTTTATTTCTTTGCTTACCCACAACATATGGTTATGTGGTCAGGAAATGAAAATAACTCTGCTTAGCTAGAAACAAGCTGATTTTTTTTTTCTAGCAATGAAAACCTGTTTTTAGGAAAATGAGAAACTTGCTAACCTTATGTAACCTAAGCATAAGCATAACATTTTTATAAGGTGCTAATATTATTTTTCCTGAAAAAGGGAATACTGGTTGATTTATTAAGTTGTACATAGTAGGACGCTAGATATATTTGGAACATTAGGTTTTTCTTTTCAAGTCAGTGCACATAAGAAGAGTAATCTTCAAAGAGACTTCAGCTTCTGGGGCTGAATTTAACACTATTTAAAGAAAGAAAACCTTAGCCAGGGGATATAACTGTTAACATGGTGATTTGTAAAACCTTAGATTTCTAATAAGGTCTGACTGTTTCAAGGAAAACATATTTTGTTTCTAGGTAACATTTCAACTCTGATTATGAACAAATGCTACAAAATTGATCTGTAATGGGAAATACTGTAATGTCACAAGGCATTATTTAATGCTTAATGTGACTGAAAGCATTAATTGCTAGGAGCCATATTCTGTCTAAGCAAAACATGAACACACATTTTGTACCTCTCATCTCGTCCTGTAGGTTTCTGAAGGAATTCGAGTGTAACAAAAACGTAGTTAGAAAATCTGCGGTACCTGAAGATTTTCTTCACCTGCTTGATTATTGCACTTGTCCCCTTGTTAGCAAACGCACAAGTCACATCTGCTCAGAAGTACCCAGCAAACAGCGGGAACAACATGGCTGCTTATTAGCAGCTCAGCTAAAATAGCTTGTGAAGAGTAAAGTAGTAATGATTGACAATTTTTCTTTTAAGTCTCTCTAGATTTATTTTTGCCACTTTATAAGAAAATCCTGGCTTTCTCCAAGAACATGCATATGAGATCTGGCTCTCTCTCTCTCTGTAGTTTTAAAACAAATTTATAGTGCTAGAATTTCCCAGTAAAATCCAATGAGTGCCATAATATTCACTGCTTTGACTCACAGTGAAGTATTAAAAATTTGAGCACTAGAAAGATGATGTCATCAGTTCTTAAACTTATGAGATTTACCCAAACGTGGGATTATTTTTAAAGAAAGCATCTTCATTCTCAATTCTGGTGAGTCCTAGGGGGTCACACACCCCAGGTGTAAAGCATCCCTCCCCTATCCCAGGCCGTTTTCTTACCTCTGTCATTTTTCTCACATAAAATAGAAAACAGTGTCTGATTTCCCATAGAATTGCATCAAAGATAATGAATGTAACAATAGGGTATTTTCCAACCTTGAAGATGTCTGTGTAAGCGGGTGCATAATGCATTTCTTCTAGGATAAATTCTAGTAGCTGTATACCAGGCACAATGCCAGTACTTACAGACATTTCTCATGCAACTCTTTCAACTGCCCTATGAGGTTGGTACTTGAAAGAAAGAGAATGAATGGGTTATGCTAGGTAACAAATAGCCCTACCATCCCAGGGCTTTGAAGCAACAGAAGCTTAATTGTTTTTGCAAAGCTGGCTGGGGGCTGGGCCGTTGTTCATGGCAGCAGTAGTGTACATCTACCAGAAATAGCAGATCACTCACCTAGCACATGCGAGGCCCTGGGTTTGATCCTCAGCACATAAAAATAAATAAAATGAAGTTATTATGTCCAACTACAATTAAAATAAATATTAGAGAGAGAAAAAAAAAAAGAAAGCCAAACACAGGTAATTGAATGCTGCCTCCTGAAAGGATCCATGTCATTCTTGCCCACTGACATTGTTCAAAGCAAGTCACATGTCCATATCTAATTTGAAGACAGCAGGGAAGTGCAATCCTTCTGTTGAAAACATTGGGGGACAGTGCCTGTGGTCACTACAGCATTATTTTCCCTATGTCACAAATCAGGGAATGTAGAGGAAAGTAATATTCAAAGTCACACAACTCATAAACAAGGTGACTATGTCATTGATTGTTCAGACCAAGACACCATTGACAATGAAAGGGGCCAGTTTTAATCAATATCTCTCCAAATCCTGGCCCACCTTCCCTGCCCATTTTGGAATTTTAGAAAGACCCACTCCATTCTTCTGGCTGTGCCTCTCCCCGTGGTTGAGAACGTCCTGGGCCAAAGGGTTTTGCTGACTCAGAGCCAGGGCCACCTTTTCTAGATATGCCTCCAAGTCCTCATAAGACCCCAGAAGTGCATGCCCAAAGGACCCCAAACATCTTCAAGCCTTGGTTGGCCTCTTCCCCAGGTATTCTTCCAAAAGGCAAGCAAAGTAGTAGACACATGCATAGCTAGTTAGACTAGCCAAATGTCAGCTGTTGGAGAGTGGACTCAATTTGATCATGCAAGTTGGGGTATCCATATACACTGCAATGGTTTGAATATGTTCCCCCAAAATTCATATGCTAAAATCAAAGTCCTGATGTAATGGTATTAAAAGGTGGGACCCTGTAGAGGGGATTAAGTCATGAGGATTAGTGCCCTTATAAAGGGCTAGAAAGAGCTAGTGAGGTCCTCCTTTTGCCCCTCTACTCTTCCATCATGTGAGGATACAGCCACAAGACAACATCTTGGAAGCAGAGAGGAATACTTGCCAGACACCAAAGCTGCTAATGCCTTGATCTTGGATGTTCCAGCCTCCCAAACTGTAAGAACTTCCTTCTTATAAATTACCCAGTCTAAGGCATTTTGTTACAGCAGCAGGAATGGACTAAAGTATACACCTACATGAAGCCCACTGAGAGAGAGAAAAAGGGTGGAGTGACCCATGGACTATTTGCCAGTTTTACTCCTGCTCTGGAACCCACAAGTATTAGCCCATGATGATGGGATAATCAGAACTATTCCGGGAGAACTTAGACATGTGATTTCCCTGCAGAGAAAGCAGATCCAGGATACAAATCCAGGTCTCACTCATGGTGGACCTGTTGTCTTCATTATTCCACTAAATTGCCTCTGATTAAGAACCTCTTGGTCAAACTACCACTACTATCCCCATAATTTTCAAAGACTGGTGGTATAGAATAGTGTAACATAAAAATTCAGGTTTACTGTGATGAGTTGCATAGCTGGCAACACAGAAAGATGGATTAAAAGACCCAGCTGGATTAGAGTTCTAGCTCTGCCGGGCAGAAGTTTCACAGTTTGGGTGGACAGATCACTTCCTCCTGAGGAGCCTGTCCTAATTCCACAGTGGGCATAATAATAATAATGATTACAAAACTCAACACTCAGAGTAGTTATGTAACTAAGGTGAGATAATGCATGTGGCCTTGAAGTTGGAGGTGATGCATGAGTACTAGAATTTCTCCTCACTGACCTGCTTGAGAAGGTCAAGTGTCAGAGGTCATGTAGATAATGCCTGCAAACATCAGGCTGCTGGTTAATAGTCTTCCAAGCTTTAGAGTCACTGTGTGAAGTGTTTCTAAAATCTAAAAATTGATCTAATTGAAATTTGATTGGTCTTAATGGCAAAGGGATAGCACTTGGATTTGTTTATATCACAGTGAGGATATTCCAAAGCTATTTATATATGGTAGGGATTTGGAACTCAGTTCCATAGCAGGCCAAGAGTCTCCATTTATTTAAAAGCATTCAGGAGTCCAACTGGAAAAAGGTCTTTAGGGATCATGTTTTCCAGATGAGGCAACTGTGGTCCAGAGAGATAAAACCCACAGTTTTCTGGGGGTCAGGATGAGGCCGAGACCAATTTTGAACTCAAGCCCCTTTTCTGCCTCCAAGGATCTTCTTCGAAGCTTTAACGTTCTCATCTGAAAGATGTTAATGATAACACTGGCCATACAGAACAAGGGTAAGGATCAAGTAAGGTCATGACCACAAAGCATTTTGTGTAGGTGGCACTCAGTAAGTGGCAACCATTTTTGCTATTATCCCAAAGGATGGTCTTCACATATTTCAGCATCAAAGATTTATTTTATTCATAGCTACTCTTGGCTTCAAGTATGGATCTAACAGATAAGCATCAAAGGATTGTTTTTTGGTTGTTTTTAAACATATGAAATGAAGGTGATTTTTTTCCATCACCAGAGTTCACATCCCTACTCCCCACCCCATCCCCCATAGGCCACATGATTATTAGCTGAAAGAAGCTGAAGACATTTAATGAGTCATTTCGGATCAATGATCTTCAACCAGGCCCAGCTGGTGAGATATTGATAAGGAAACGTGCGATACAGAGAAGAGCAGTTGACTTACAGGAAGTGAATGGGGCTCCTTTGCAGAAATGGATCCTCTAGGGCCTGGGCTGGCCTGGGCCTCAGGGTTGGTGCGGGCTGGAGAGGTAACATTATGTGGTGGCTAAGAGCATGGGCTTCCGAGTCCAATGGCCTTTCTTTGGCTGCTGCTTCCACTCTGCAAACTTTACTTTCCTCTTCTGTAAAAGGGCAGCGAGAACAATACCTGTCTTGCAAGGTTGGCTGTGATGGTCCAAGGGATACACTGTGCAAAAATACTTGGCCCACGGTCTTATGCAAGGAGGTGAGTCATTGACAGAGCTAGATGACTCTTAAAAAACTTTGAAGAAGTTCACAGCTATTTAAAAGGCAAAAGATATATCTAATAAATCAGAAGAAATTTCAGAGAGAATAATCTAAACTTTATTTTATGAGCAATTCCATACAGAGTATACGCAATTCATACAGAAGCTGGGATCATCAGCTTCAAGAGGCCCTTCCTGAAGTCTTCAGGGAGCCCTGCTGGCTTGCTGGTGGCTGGATTCACAAAGACGTGGACTGAAGACCCCGTGGTACAGGCCAAAGCATCGAACTGAGCCAATTTAGGATGGCCAAAGAAAAAGCCATCAGAGAGGTCACTGTCATCTACTGAAGGTGGCTCCTCGGTGTGCTTAGGTGGAAATAGAGCAAGTCGGTAATGCACGCTGGAGTGACCCACTTTCTCCACCGCCAAGGCAGCCACTGGGATCTGAGGGAAGCCTATGGGTGAGTAGTAGGTGCACTGATTGGTCACCATGAACCCCACCATGGGGGACGACAGTAGGCTGGTTTTCAGGCCACAGTACCTAGAAGGTAGAATCACAATGCATGCTCCAGGTTGCCAAGACACTGTCCCCCAGCCCAACGGCAGTGTGCTTCAATGGTCAAGGGCCCTAGCCCCAAAGGACCTTATTCAAATCCCAGTTCTGAGCCAGGCCTGGTGGCACACAGCTGTAATCCTAGTGACTCCAGAGGCAGAAGGATTGCAAGTCTGAGGCCAGCCTCAACAACTTAGTAAGGCCCTAAGCAACTTAGCAAGACCCTTCTTAAAATAAAAAAAATAAATAAAAAGGGCTGGGAATGCAGCTCAGTGGTAGAGCACCCCTGGGTTCAATCCGCAGTATCTAAATCAATCAATCAATCAATAAAAATAAATCTCAGTTCTGCAACTTACTAGCTGAATTACCTTGGGCAAGATACTAACTTCTCTGTGCTTCGGTTTCTAATATATATATATATATATATATATATATATATATATATATATATACCTCATAAATGTAAGAATTAAAAGGTGAATGTACACAATTTACTATAGCAACATTAAACATTGACTTTTCTAATATAATTATGTCCATCTTGTCCTTGTTTCATGATGAAAGAGGCAGGAATTTTGGTGCTAAATAAGAGAGAAAACTCATTTATCAGGTTCAATGAGTTATTGTGTCTCACGTCTGCTACTAGATTCCCATCTCTTTAAGGATAGGAGCTGTGTCTCATTCATTTTTAAAGTTTGTGGAATAGAAATGAAGTGGCACTTGCGATAAGATCTGGCAGGCAGCGAGAATGGGAAATGGAAAGCGTCATGCTGCTTTCCAGCCCCTCTCCACCTTCCCACCCATTTTGATTTAAACATTTTCATCACATCATCTTATTGTCTCCTTTTCTTGAAAATATATTAAGATTGAATGTGAGGATTAACTGTGAGGGAACAGCTACGTGCTGTGTGTAGGTCTGACTACCAAGTTGTTCATGGAGGGGAAACAGACACAGACCCCAGGCTCCACTCCGAGAGGGCACTGAGTGGCTGTGGGCAGCCACCTTGGGAGCCCATCGCTGTCACCCATGGTGACATTAGATATGTTCACTTCCTCACTTGGAACAAGCTGTAGAATGAAAAAGATCTGATTACAGAACAGTAGGTCCTGTCCCACGCGATCTCATTTGCTGTACTTGAACATCTTAGCTCATGGCCATATTGACTTAAACAAAACCTTGGACGGATAACCTGCAAAATGTTCTCAGTACTTATCTCATAGGAGAATTTGGGGGAAATGTGGGGTTTTGGCGGGGGGTCGTTTTTTGATTTTTTTAAAAACTTGTATGAATGTTCTAAACTGAACATGATTTGCCTTCAAATGAAGAAAAACGTTTTTAAATGACAGTGAAGTTCATTTTTTTATAAAATAAAAGCTTCAAGAGATGAGCCATTTGAATTAACAAGACTCCTTTTGTCCTTGAGCACCTCCTGCCACCCACCTGAAGGCTTCTTCATAAGTACTAAAAGGCTGCCTTAGTGCTTTTGGAATGTTGTAACAAAAATATCATAGACTGGGTGGCTTATCAACAATAGAAACTCATTTCTCAAGTTCTAGAAGCTAGGATGTCCAAGATCAAGGTGCCAGCAGAGTGGTGTCTGTTGAGGTTCACTTCCTGGTTCACAGACAGCATGACTGTGTCGTCACATGACAGAAGGGATGAGGGAGCTCTCTGGGGTCTCTTTTATATGGGCACTGATCCCATTCATGAGGGTCCTGCCCTTGAAACTAATCAATTCCCGAATGCCCCATCCAAATACCCTCGCATTAAAGATTAGCTTTCAACACATGAATGGTGGAACGCATGCATTCAGTGCATAGCAGAAGGTGGGGGGGGGGGAAGAAGAGCCTTGCTTTGCAGCTTGACCCCAAGATCCAGTGAGAATCAAATTCTCCCATTTTCTTTCCTCTAGCCTCTCTGTTGCTATTGCTTTTCTATGCTCTGCCACAATTTTCCTCTTTCTTTTAAGAGAGCAGACAGTAAATAAATGGTGCCTCTTCCCACCAGGAGAGTAATATTTCATGAGCTCCTTGTTTTCTGTGTGAGCTCAGACACGATGCTTTTAAATAATTGAAATGCAGGAGTGCATTTAAGCCAAGCCATCAACTGAGCACCTGTTATATGTCAGGCCTGTGCTAGGTGCCTTACACTTTATATTCATTTCTCAAAATAACCCTGCAAGGTGTTTAATTTCCCCTAGTTTACAGGGAAGAAAATAAAGCAGAGGGTTTGAACAAGTTTCCCAAGGTTGCATGGAGTAAATGGTGGACTTGAACCCAAACTTCAGGCTCTCTAGATACAAGGTTCCCACTTTTTGCTCCACCCCAGATTTCCAAATGGTGAAACAAAAATCTATATTTTAGTTCAGTGGATGAACTGCATTTTCTTTAGGTGATTCTGTGACTGTGGAGCAGCTTCATTACATTAGACAATATGCCCCACGTTTGCAGTGTGTTTGGGTTAGTGGTAACAGATGGTCCCTAGTGAGAGTTTTTTGAACTATGGCTTTTCTTTTAGATTTTATTTTATTTTTATCAAGGTGTGTATAGGTGTACATACTTTCAAAAAGACAACTAGTTGCTCAAGTCTTATCACAAAATAAACAAAAAAACCACAGCATATTTCTGGCCGATTATATATTCATTAGTTATAGATGTTCTTAGAATTAGTTGTAGATGTTCAAGATGAATTCATTTATTATGCAACCTCCACTGCTCTTTGTTAGATGCTGAGTGCTATGGTTTGGATAAGTGTTCCCCAAAGGCACTGTGTTAAAGCATTGGTCCCTGGGGTAGCTCTATTGGGAGGTGGTGTAACTCTTAGTAGGAGGGGTCTCCGGGAGGTCCTTATGTCATTGAAGGCACACTAACAAAAAGAATTGTGGGCTGGACACGGTGATGCACACCTGTAATCCCAGCAGCTTGGGAGATTGAGACAGGAGGATCATGAGTTCAAAGCCAGCCTCAGAAAAAGCAAGGCACTAAGCAACTCAGTGAGACCCTGTCTCTAAATAAAACACAAAATAGGGCTGGGAGGGATAACAGGAACATATCTCAACATCATGAAGGCTATCTACACTAAGCCCCAGGCCAAGAGCATTCTAAATTGAGAAAAATTAAAGGCATTCCCTCTAAAAACTGGAACAAGACAGGGATGCCCTCTTTCACCACTTCTATTTAACATAGTTCTTGAAACACTGGCCAGAGCAATTAGACGAAAGAAGTTAAAGGGATATGTATAGGAAAAGAAGAACTTAAATTAGCACTATTTGCTGACGATATGATTCTATACCTAGAAGACCCAAAAAGCTCCACCAGAAAACTTCTAGAACTAGTAAATGAATTCAGCAAAGTATCAAGATATAAAATCAACACCCATAAATCAAAGGCATTTCTGTAGATCAGTGACAAATCCTCTGAGAAGAAAATGAGGAAAACTACCCCATTTACAGTAGCCTAAAAAAAATACTTGGGGATCAACTTAACAAAAGATGTAAAAGATCTATACAATGAAAACTACAGAACTCAAAGGAAAGAAATCAAAGAAGACCTTAGAAGATGGAAGGATCTACCTTGCTCTTGGATAGGCAGAATTAATATTATCAAAATGACCATACTACCAAAAGCACTATACAGATTTAATGCAATTCTGATCAAAATCCCAATGGCATTCCTCATAGAAATAGAAAAAGCAATCATGAAATACATCTCGGAAAAATAAGAGACTCAGAATAGCTAAAGGCAAGAAGAGTGAAGCAGGTGGTATCGCTCTACCAGAACTTAAACTATAGTACAGAACAGTAGTAACAAAAACAACATGGTATTGGCACCAAAACAGACTAGTACACCAATAGTACAGAAGAGAGGACACAGAGACTAACTCACAAAATTATAATTATCTTATGTAACACAAAGGTGCCAAAAACATACATTGGAGAAAAGATAGCCTCTTCAACAAATGGTGCTGGGAAAACTGGAAATCCATATATAACAAAATGAAATTAAACCCCTATCTCTCATCATGCACAAAACTCAACTCAAAGTGGATCAAGGACCTAGGAATTAAAACAGAGACTCTGCATCTAACAGAAGAAAAAGTAGGCCCTAATCTTCATCATGTCGGATTAGACCCCAACTTCCTTAATAAGACTCCTATAGCACAAAAATTAAAAGCAAGAATCAATAAATGGGATGGATTCAGGCTAAAAAGTTTCTTTTCAGCAAAATAAACAATCTGTGAGGTGAATAGAGAGCCTATATCTTGGGAGCAAATTTTTACCCCTTCCGTATCAGATAGAGCACTAACTCTAGGTACATAAAGAACTCAAAAAAGCTAAACACCAAAAAAAAAAAAAAAAAAAGTAACCCAATCAATAAATGGGCCAAGGACCTGAACAGACACTTCTCAGAAGAGGATATGCAATCAATCAACAAATATATGAAAAAATGTGCATCATCTCTAGCAATTAGAGAAATGCAAATCAAAACTACTCTAAGATTTCATCTCACTTCAGTCAGAATGGCAGCTATTATGAAGACAAACAACAATAAGTGTTGGAGAGGATGTGGGGAAAGAGGTACACTCATACATTGTTAGTGGGAGTGCAAATTGGTGCAGCCAATATGGAAAGCAGTATGGAGATTCCTTGGAAAACTGGGAATGGAACCACCATTTGACCCAGCTATCCCTCTCCTCCGTCTATACCCAAAGGACTTAAAAACAGCATACTACAGGAACACAGCCACATCAATGTTTATAGCAGCACAATTCACAAAAGCTGAACTGTGGAATCAACCTAGATGCCCTTCAGTAGATGAATGGATAAAAAAAAATGTAGCATATATCCACAGTGGGATATTACTCAGCAATGAAAGAATAAAATCATGGCATTTGCAGGTAAATAGATGGAGTTAGAGAAGATAATGCTAAGTGAAGTTAGCCAATCCCCAAAAAACAAATGTTGACTGTTTTCTCTGATAAGGTGACT